ACGTTTTCATATAGCACCCTTATAACGGTACCTCCCGATATTCGGCATTTTGATGATTTTTGCGAAATTATTAACCGGAATTGTTTCAAATTTGATATTTGAAATTCGAAATCAATGCTACAGCCTATGATAGAAAATTATCTGTGCAGGTCCACGTCTTCGTATAGCCCCCACATAACGGTACCTCCCAAAATTCGGTATTTTGATGATTTTAGCGTCATTTTCACCGGAATTGTTTCAAATTACGTATTTAGAGTTCGTAATGGGAACTACAGTCTGTGACAGAAAATTGTCTATGCAGGTCCAGGTTTTCGTATAGACCCCATATATCAGTACCTCCCTATATTCGGTATTTTGATGATTTTAGCGACATTATTCACCGGAATTGTTTCAAATTTGGTATTTGAGATTCGTAATGGATACTACAGCCTATGACAAAAAATTGTCTATGCAGGTCCACGTCTTCGTATAGCCCCTATATAACGGTACCTTCCGATATTCGGTATTTTGACGACTTTAGGTACAATGCACACTGAAACTCTTTGAGATGTCGTATTTGATGTTCGTAATGGATGCTATAGCCTGTGACAGAAAATTGTCTATGCTAGTCCAGGTCTTCGCACAGCTCCGATACAAAACCCACTGGTCGCCAAAACCCACTGATGCTTTTTAATTTTGCTGTTTCTTTTAATCCATAGGTCTGTAAATTTTAATATTTTGTTTAAATCCAAGATTTAAAAGTATTTTACTTTTGTCTTTCAGCATTGAGCATTTTTCGATTTTTTCCCTTTGCCTATTTTTCGCTGATTTATTCAAATTATGCATTTGTTATGCACATGTTCTTAGGAAAAACACTCAAGAGCGTAATACCCCTCCCCCTTAGTCCCCCTAAAGACATGGCCTTTTACTTTAGTATTTATTCACACCATTCATTGACATTACATCCGTTCGATGCAGGCAACCCCTGCCAGCGGAAAAAAACTGCCAACCCTTCCTCTATCAGCAAAGTAATTCTCCACACTTTCTTATCATTTTGGGGTTACAAACACACACACGCACACAATTTTCTTATATTCTTAATGTTTTTCTTTTTCCATGTTTTTGTTATGTTCTTTTTTATAAGGCATGGCGAGAAGTGGGTTGGGGGAAGTTGGGCAACATTTCAATAGAATTTCCATTAACATTTCTTCTCAATTGATTTTAATGATTTTTTTCTTGGAGTACTTCAAGAAAATTATGTTTTGGCCCCATTCTTGTTATCTTTTGAGTGGTGGACGTCCCTCCATTGAATGACTCAGTCTCACTGGCCATCTGATTGTCTTCCCCCTCCCTGACCCATTCTCAAGAGTTGATTGCATTATTTATATGGAATACATAAATTGTAAAAAAAATGTGTGCGCTGTTTTTTTTTCTTCTTCTTCTTTTGTAAAACTATCCATTGAAAAACATTTTTACTTGTGGTTTTCAACTCACAATCGGTTTTGTTTATTTTTCCATCATTGTATTTTATTTCCAAAAGGGGTGAAGTGCACCAATTCAATTGCACTTTTAAAATTATTTATTTGGGGGAGAAAGAGATTCGGAATAGGAAGTAATATTAAAAAATTATAAAAAAAAATTATTTAAAAAATCCAAGTTTCATCAACTGATGGTCATTTGGAAAAATATTCTTTAAAAAATCCACGTTTCATCAGCTGATGGGCCTTTGGAAAAATATTCTTTAAAAAATCCAAGTTTCATCAAATGATGGGCCTTTGGAAAAATATTCTTTAAAAAATCCACGTTTCATCAACTGATGGTCCTTTTGAAAAATATTCTTTAAAAAATCCACTTTTCATCAACTGATGTGCTTTTGGAAAAATATTCTTTAAAAAATCCAAGTTTCATCAAATGATGGGCCTTTGGAAAAATATTCTTTAAAAAAATCCAAGTTTCATCAAATGATGGGCCTTTGGAAAAATATTCTTTAAAAAATCCAAGTTTCATCAAATGATGGGCCTTTGGAAAAATATTCTTTAAAAAATCCACCTTACATTAACTGATGGGCCTTTGAAAAATATTCTTTAAAAAATCCACGTTTCATCAACTGATGGTCCTTTGGAAAAATATTCTTTAAAAAATCCACGTTTCATCAGCTGATGGTTCTTTGGAAAAATATTCTTTAAAAAATCCACGTTTCATCAAATGATGGGCTTTTGGAAAAATATTCTTTAAAAAATCCACGTTTCATCAAATGATGGGTTTTTGGAAAAATATTCTTTAAAAAATCCACGTTTCATCAAATGATGGGCTTTTGGAAAAATATTCTTTAAAAAATCCACGTTTCATCAAATTCTTTAAAAAATCCACGTTTCTTGTATCCTTGAAAAATATTCTTTAAAAAATCCACGTTTCATCAAATGATGGTCCTTGAAAAAATATTCTTTAAAAAATCCACGTTTCATCAACTGATGGTCCTTGAAAAAATATTCTTTAAAAAATCCACGTTTCATCAACTGATGGTCCTTGAAAAAATATTCTTTAAAAAATCCACGTTTCATCAACTGATGGTCCTTGAAAAAATATTCTTTAAAAAATCCACGTTTCATCAACTGATGGTCCTTGAAAAAATATTCTTTAAAAAATCCACGTTTCATCAACTGATGGTCCTTGAAAAAATATTCTTTAAAAAATCCACGTTTCATCAGCTGATGGTTCTTTGGAAAAATATTCTTTAAAAAATCCACGTTTCATCAAATGATGGGCTTTTGGAAAAATATTCTTTAAAAAATCCACGTTTCATCAAATGATGGGTTTTTGGAAAAATATTCTTTAAAAAATCCACGTTTCATCAAATGATGGGCTTTTGGAAAAATATTCTTTAAAAAATCCACGTTTCATCAAATTCTTTTAAAAAATCCACGTTTCTTGTATCCTTGAAAAATATTCTTTAAAAAATCCACGTTTCATCAAATGATGGTCCTTGAAATAATATTCTTTAAAAAATCCACGTTTCATCAAATGATGGTCCTTGAAAAAATATTCTTTAAAAAATCCACGTTTCATCAAATGATGGGCTTTTGGAAAAATATTCTTTAAAAAATCCACGTTTCATCAAATTCTTTAAAAAATCCACGTTTCTTGTATCCTTGAAAAATATTCTTTAAAAAATCCACGTTTCATCAAATGATGGTCCTTGAAAAAATATTCTTTAAAAAATCCACGTTTCATCAAATGATGGGCTTTTGGAAAAATATTCTTTAAAAAATCCACGTTTCATCAAATTCTTTAAAAAATCCACGTTTCTTGTATCCTTGAAAAATATTCTTTAAAAAATCCACGTTTCATCAAATGATGGTCCTTGAAAAAATATTCTTTAAAAAATCCACGTTTCATCAACTGATGGTCCTTGAAAAAATTTTCTTTAAAAAATCCACGTTTCATCAACTGATGGTCCTTGAAAAAATATTCTTTAAAAAATCCACGTTTCATCAACTGATGGTCCTTGAAAAAATATTCTTTAAAAAATCCACGTTTCATCAACTGATGGTCCTTGAAAAAATATTCTTTAAAAAATCCACGTTTCATCAACTGATGGTCCTTGAAAAAATATTCTTTAAAAAATCCACGTTTCATCAACTGATGGTCCTTGAAAAAATATTCTTTAAAAAATCCACGTTTCATCAACTGATGGTCCTTGAAAAAATATTCTTTAAAAAATCCACGTTTCATCAACTGATGGTCCTTGAAAAAATATTCTTTAAAAAATCCACGTTTCATCAACTGATGGTCCTTGAAAAAATATTCTTTAAAAAATCCACGTTTCATCAACTGATGGTCCTTGAAAAAATATTCTTTAAAAAATCCACGTTTCATCAACTGATGGTCCTTGAAAAAATATTCTTTAAAAAATCCACGTTTCATCAACTGATGGTCCTTGAAAAAATATTCTTTAAAAAATCCACGTTTCATCAACTGATGGTCCTTGAAAAAATATTCTTTAAAAAATCCACGTTTCATCAACTGATGGTCCTTGAAAAAATATTCTTTAAAAAATCCACGTTTCATCAACTGATGGTCCTTGAAAAAATATTCTTTAAAAAATCCACGTTTCATCAACTGATGGTCCTTGAAAAAATATTCTTTAAAAAATCCACGTTTCTTGTATCCTTGAAAAAATATTCTTTAAAAAATCCACGGTTCTTGTATCCTTGAAAAAATAATCTTTAAAAAATCCACGTTTCTTGTATCCTTGAAAAAATATTCTTTAAAAAATCCACGTTTCCTGTATCCTTGAAAAAATATTCTTTAAAAAATCCACGTTTCTTGTATCCTTGAAAATATTCTTTAAAAAATCCACGTTTCTTGTATCCTTGAAAAATATTCTTTAAAAAATCCACGTTTCTTGTATCCTTGAAAAATATTCTTTAAAAAATCCACGTTTCTTGTATCCTTGAAAAATATTCTTTAAAAAATCCACGTTTCTTGTATCCTTGAAAAATATTCTTTAAAAAATCCACGTTTCTTGTATCCTTGAAAAATATTCTTTAAAAAATCCACGTTTCTTGTATCCTTGAAAAATATTCTTTAAAAAATCCACGTTTCTTGTATCCTTGAAAAATATTCTTTAAAAAATCCACGTTTCTTGTATCCTTGAAAAATATTCTTTAAAAAATCCACGTTTCTTGGTCTGATAGTCCTTGAAAAAATATTCTTTAAAAAATCCACGTTTCTTAGATCCTTAAAAAAAATATTCTTTAAAAAATCCACGTTTCTTAGATCCTTAAAAACATATTCTTTAAAAAATCCACGTTTCTTGGATTCTTGAAAAATATTCTTTAAAAAATCCACGTTTCTTGGATTCTTGAAAAATATTCTTTAAAAAATCCACGTTTCTTGGATCCTTGAAAAAATATTCTTTAAAAAATCCACGTTTCTTGGTCTTTTGGTCCTTGAAAGTCTTTGAAAAAATATTCCTTAAAAAATCCAAAATTAATTTATTTTTTTCTCCTTCTTTTCAGATATTCCTCGATTTCATTGAAGACCTTTGGCTGAAAATTATGGATTAGCACCAAGGGAATTTATCCACATAACTCTATCCCCAATATTATCGATACTCGGGGATAAGTTATCAAGGACAATAAGAAGGAGTCTTCTCTTTTCCTCAAAAATGTTTGGCTGTTTCGCAAAGCAGTTTTAATACATTTCATTTCCGATTTTTTTGTTTTGGTTATCAAAACTTTCCAAAGGGGGTGAAACAACAACTGCCATTAAATACTCCAAATAAATTGTAGAATTCCACGGCGAAGGCTCATCTCTCGCAATAATTGCACAAAAATCGCTGAAGTTCATATACCAGAAACATTCCCATCAGCAGCAGCCACCTCAACCCCTTCGCCAGACCGAAACAATTTCAATTTTTTTCGCTTCGTTTTGTTTTCTTCCTCTCCTTTTTTTTTGATGATTTTGGAAACAAAGGAATTTCTCTTCCGTTTCTGGTGGTTATATTACGCATACAAGAGCCATATAACAATAAAGGGTTATTTTTCCAGAATCCAACACAAAATAAAGTCGTAAAAGGAAGGCAGGAGCCAAACCTGCAAGCCCCTTGTTGCTATTATAGCTTTCAATTCCAAGTTATTTTGGTTTTCATTGCAAAAACCACAATTAAAAAATCCATGCAATACCCATCACCACCCTAAAACCACAGCACAGGAACCATTAAAAAAAAAAAAAAAAAACAAAATTAAATTGAAAATACGCAAAACCGGTTAAATCATATCAACAACGGAATTCGCGTTGCGCGTCATTTTCGTTATCACGTTACGTCGTTAATGTTGCTGCTGCGCCGCAGTCGTCGCTGCCGCCGCCCCTTAACGCGTCCCATTATCGTCTCGAAATAATTGTAGCATCTCCTCCCTCGCAGAAAAATAAACCAAACATCGCCACCATTATCGCGTTCAACATTTTCGGATTTATTCAGCATCACCACCACCACCCCCACCACAAAGAATGTCATCGACAAAATGTGGTCTAAGAATGATTTTCACAGCGATCAGTCTTGTCATCATCGTAAATGGTAAGTAGAAATGTAATTTTATTATCTTAGCATAATAGGTGCTGCCAAATCGGGGGTTAGGTAAGGGGTGTTGGGGATTAAACACATATTACCAATTATTTTTACACCACCCACTCTCATGATATTTTCAGCAATTCTTGGAAAGAATCCACGTTTCTTGGATCCTTGAAAAAAATATTCTTAAAAAAATCCACGTTTCTTGGATCATTGAAAAAATATTCTTTAAAAAATCCACGGTCTTTGAAAGAAATATTCTTTAAAAAATCCACGTTTCTTGGATCCTTGAGAAAAATATTCTTAAAAAAAAATCACGTTTTTTAAATCCTTGAAAAAATATTCTTTAAAAAAAACACGTTTTTTAGATCCTTGAAAAAATATTCTTTAAAAAATACACGTTTTTTAAATCCTTGAAAAAATATTCTTTAAAAAGATATCCAAAAAATCCAATTCTTTCTTAAAATCCACATTTCTTGAATCCTTGAAAAAATATTCCTTAAAAAATCCACGTTTCATGGATCCTTGAAAAAATATTTTTTAAAAAATCGACGTTTCTTGGATCCTTGAAAAAAATATTTTTTAAAAAAAATCACGTTTCTTGGATCCTTGAAAAAAATATTTTTTAAAAATCACGTTTCTTGGATCCTTGAAAAAAATATTTTTTAAAAAATCCACGTTTCTTGGATCCTTGAAAAAAATATTTTTTAAAAAATCCACGCTTCTTGGATCCTTGAAAAAAATATTTTTTAAAAAATCCACGTTTCTTGGATCCTTGAAAAAAATATTTTTTAAAAAATTCACGTTTCTTAGATCCTTGAAAAAAATATTTTTTAAAAAATCCACGTTTCTTGGATCCTTGAAAAAAATATTTTTTAAAAAATCCACGTTTCTTGGATCCTTGAAAAAAAATATTTTTTAAAAAATCCACATTTCTTGGATCCTTGAAAAAAATATTTTTTAAAAAATCCACGTTTCTTGGATCCTTGAAAAAAATATTTTTTTTTTAAAAATCCACGTTTCTTGGATCCTTGAAAAAAATATTTTTTAAAAAATCCACGTTTCTTGGATCCTTGAAAAAAATATTTTTTAAAATATCCACGTATCTTTGATCCTTGAAAAAAATATTTTTTTAAAAAATCCACGTATCTTGGATCCTTGAAAAAAATATTTTTTAAAAAATCCACGTTTCTTGAATTTTTGAAAAAAATATTTTTTTAAAAAGTTCACGTTTCTTGAATTTTTGAAAAAAATATTTTTAAAAAAATCCACGTTTCTTGGATCCTTGAAAAAAATATTTTTTAAAAAATCCAAGTTTCTTGGATCCTTGAAAAAAATATTCTTTAAAAAATCCACGTTTATTGTATTCTAGAAAAATCATTCTTTAAAAAACCCACGTTTCTTGGATCCTTGAAAAAAATATTCTTTCCTTGGATCCCTGAAAAAAACATTCTTTAAAAATCCATGTTTCTTGGATCCTTGAAAAAATATTAAAAAAACACGTTTCTTGGATCCTTGAAAAAAATATTCCTTAAAAAATCCACTTTTCTTGGATCCTCAAAAAAATAATCTTTAAAAAATCCCTGTTTCTTGGATCCTTGAAAAAATATTCTTTAAAATTTCCACGTTTCGTGGATCCTTGAAAAAAAAAAAAAATATCCACGTTTCTTGGATTCTTGAAAAAAAATATTTTTTAAAAAATCTACGTTTCTTGGATCCTTGAGATATTGAAGATGTCATGACAAAGAATCGGCAGTGTAGACAGGAACATGATTCGCACTCATTATTCAACCCATGATCTGTCATGGGTGAAAGTGATTGGTATCAAAATCATTGGTAATGAGTCGCAGTGGCCAAAAAATGGCTCTTGAGCTTAACATATCGCAATATTCAATTCCGCAAATATTGAAAAATGAGCTCGGGATAAAGCCATTGAAATTCCAAAAAAGTGCAAGAACTTACACCTCAACAGAAAGAAAATAGACTCAAAAGAGCTAAAGAGTTGCTTCGCTTGGCCGAAAGGGGTGAACTGCCGAATTTGGTTTTCTCCGATGAGACAACATTCGTTGTCCAGCAGTTTGTGAACAAAGAATATGATCGTGTTTACTTGCCACCAGAACTCAAGCGCCGGCAATGGTGATGGTGTGGGCCGCGATAACAGTCGATGGTCGCTCTCCGCTCGTATTAATCGACCTGGCATCGGAATAAATGCCGAATATTATCGCGAAAATATTCTGGAGGGTGTATTAATGCCTTGGTACTCAGACATTTTGGCCGGACATTGCAACAGGACTCACCCCCATAGCACTCAGCACGCGCCACCCAAGAATGGTTACAAAATGAGGTTCCTCGCTTCATTTCCAGAGCACACTGGAAACCAAAATCTCCGGATACCAATCCGTTGGAATATTGTGTCTGGAGTATTTTGGAAAGCAAGGTTGACACTAAAAAATACCAATGTGACGATCACCTCATATTCTATAGAGGGCTCATGTCTGAATTTTCTATACTAGACCATCGATTTATGGAATATCATCAAAGAACCTTTTTTTTAAAATTCTATTTTAGAGTTTTTCCCTTAAATCCAACAAAAAATTGCCCCCTTCTCTTTCCAGACATCTTTAAAGAAGTTCGTCCATATTTTAAATATTTTTTCTTAAACTTGCATTTCTTTTTATTTTTCCCCATAACAGTTTTTCTTTTGGCACTTGTCCTTGTCTCCAAGGCCATAAAAACCAGCCAACCCATGCTCACATGTGTTCTTGTGTGTGTATGAGTATGTCCATGGTGCTTACCTTCAAATATCATTATTTTTGTCTAATCTTTTGCCATTACTTTGCTTTATTAAATGTGTCTGGACGTCTGCGCCAAGTTTAGTTTTACAACTTTTCTTCCAAAACACAGACACACACAGCCACACTCAAAACGCCCCCAAACGAGAACGTCTAAAGAATGGCCGAAGAAGAAAAAAAGGAGAAGAATAGACAAAAAATTATGGCTAACCTTTGGCCATTATGATTGGCATTCCATTTTAATTAACCTTTCTTTTTTTTGAAGGGAATTTTTCTATGTGTTCGGGGTTTTCCAACATTTTTTCCTTTCTATTTTTTCGGTTCGTTAGCATTTCCTCCTTTAGTTTATCCATATTCATAGTTCTTGCACGCAAAGAGGTAGACGTAGTTGTGAAAACTCTAAACTGATTACCATGAAATTTTTGCACATCTCATCGAAGTGTAGGACAAAGCAACGGCGGATGTTGTGGGCGGAGTTTTTTTTTTTTTTTTTTTTTTGAGGGGAGCAAATGGCCGGATGCAAATAAACTAGTATTCTATAATGATTTAGATCATGGTATTCATAGACTTTGAATAGAAAAAATGAGAAGAAGAAAAGAAAACAAGGTCTGACCAAGCCACAAAAATCCGGTTGCCATTCAGGGTCAGAGGTCATTGGAGATGATGACAATGAATTAGAGGAGATTGTAGGAAGCAATACCATTTTCAATCAGGTAGGCTGAATGACAATTTCCCCAAACGAAAATGGTCGAACAATTTATGTGACCAATCGTAGGTCTTTCAATTAACTAAACCTGACGTGGACCTTTATTGGAGAGAAAATCTGCCATTCAAGCGTGAAAATTTTGATTGACTAATTATGGCGCCCAATCGAGATTATTTTGATTGAAAATTCTGGTACACATTGAGGATTTTTCAATTCGAAGTTATGGCGCCCAATCGTGAGTCATTTTACAGACAAATGCTGGTGCCAAAACGTGAGAATTTTAATTGAGAAATTCTGGCTATTCGACAGAAGAGGACTCCGAGAGAAGCTAGTCCACAACAGGGGCCTCTGAGGCCAGCTTCTCTACAGAATCGCCCTCTGAAGCTATAAATTCTACAGCAGAGACCACTGAGATCAGCTACACGACACCAAAGGCTTATGAGGCCGGCTAACCCACAGCAGTGGCTTTTGAGGGCAGTTACTTTACAGCAACGCCATTTGTGGGCAGCTACTCTGCAGCAAAAGACTCTCGAAGAGTAGCTAGCTACGGCGGAGGCCTCTGAAGACAGCTACTCTACAGAATCGCTCTCTGAAGCCAGAAAGTCTACAGCAGAAACCTCTGAGATCAGCTTTTCGACAGCAAAGGCTTCTGAGGCCGTTACTTTACAGCAATGCCATTAGTGGGCAGCTACTCCACAGCAGATTCCTCTGAGGACAGGTATTCTACAGTAGAGTGCTCTGAGGCCAGCTACTCGGCGGCAGATGCCTCTGAGGACAGTAACTTTACAGCTGCGCCATCTGCGAGCAGGGACTCTACACTTCGAGGCCAGATAGACTACAACAGGGATCTTTTAGACCAGCTAATCTACAACAGCTGACCATGAGGCCAGACTGTGTACGTCAGGGGTCTTTGAGGCCAGCAACTCCATAGAAAATTAAAAATTCTGGCTTCTGAGGACGGTTATTTTACAGCAGAGTCATTTGTGCTCTACAGCAGATGCCTCTGAGGGCCCGCAAATCTGTAGCAAATTCAAAATTCTGGCTTCTGAGGACTATTAATTTACAGCAGCATCATCTGTGAGCAGTACCCTACAGCAGAGGTCTCTGAGGCCAGGAACTCCACAGCTGAGGCCAGATACTCCACAGAAGAGGTCTCTGGGGCCGGCTACTCTACATCAGTGGCCTCTACCGGTCACCTATTCTACAGCAGCCTCCACTAAGGCCAGCTACTCTACATCGGAGGCTTCTGAGTTCAGCTACGCTACAGCAGCGCTACGCTTCAGCAAATGCCTCTGAGGTCAGCTTCTCTGCAACAGAAACCTTAAAAGTCAGTTACCCTTCAGCGTGGCCACTGCTAGCAGAGTCTTCTGTGACCAGGATCTACACATCAGCGCCCTCTGAGGCCAGCTACTCTTCAGCACAAATCTCTGAGGCCAGCAGTGACATCTGGCGCCAGTTATTCTTCAGCAATTGCCTTTGAGACCAGTTATTCTGTGGCAGAGGCCAGG